TGTGGTAATCCCGCACCTCCTCCTAACTTCCAAACTACGAATTCTCTGCATTATATTTACACCACACATTGCCCTCAGACATGACATCTCCACTGCCTCCAGCCTTCTCCTTGCTGCAACATTCATCACCCATGCTTCACACCCATATAAGAGCATTGGTAAAACTATACTCTCATACATTCCCCTCTTTGCCTCCAAGGACAAAGTTCTTTGCCTCCACAGACTCCTAAGTGCACCACTCACCCTTTACCCCTCATGAATTCTATGATTCACCTCATCTTTCATAGACCCATCCGCTGACACGTCCACTCCCAAATATCTGAATACTTCACCTCCTCCATACTCTCTCCCTCCAATCTGATATCCAATCTTTCATCACCTAATCTTTTTGTTATCCTCATTACCTTACTCTTTCCTGTATTCACTTTTAATTTTCTTCTTTTCCATACCCTACCAAATTCATCCACCAATCTCTGCAACTTCTCTTCAGAATCTCCCAAGAGCACAGTGTCATCAGCAAAGAGCAACTGTGACAACTCCCACTTTATGTGTGATTCTTTATCTTTTAACTCCACGCCTCTTGCCAAGACCCTCGCATTTACTTCTCTTACAACCCCATCTATAAATATATTAAACAACCACGGTGACATCACACATCCTTGTCTAAGGCTTACTTTTACTGGGAAATAATTTCCCTCTTTCCTACATACTCTAACTTGAGCCTCACTATCCTCATAAAAACTCTTCACTGCTTTCAGTAACCTACCTCCTACACCATACACCTGCAACATCTGCCACATTGCCCCCCTATCCACCCTGTCATATGCCTTTTCCAAATCCATAAATGCCACAAAGACCTCTTTAGCCTTATCTAAATACTGTTCACTTATACACCCCCACTCCCCCTACCTTTCCTAAAGCCTCCTTGTTCATCTGATATCCTATTCTTCGTCTTACTCTTAATTCTTTCAATAATAACTACCATACACTTTACCAGGTATACTCAGCAGACTTATCCCCCTATAATTTTTGCACTCTCTTTTGTCCCCTTTGCCTTTATACAAAGGAACTATGCATGCTCTCTGCCAATCCCTAGGTACCTTACCCTCTTCCATACATTTATTAAATAATTGCACCAACCACTCCAAAACTATATCCCCACCTGCTTTTAACATTTCTATCTTTATCCCATCAATCCCGGCAGTAGGTAAAATGAAAGGGGGTAACCCTTTCATTTTACCTACTGCCTCACGAACTTCCCCCACACTCACAACTGGCTCTTCCTCACTCCTACAAGATGTTATTCCTCCTTGCCCTATACACGAAATCACAGCTTCCCTATCTTCATCAACATTTAACAATTCCTCAAAATATTCCCTCCATCTTCCCAATACCTCTAACTCTCCATTTAATAACTCTCCTCTCCTATTTTTAACTGACAAATCCACTTGTTCTCTAGGCTTCCTTAACTTGTTAATCTCACTCCACATCTTTTTCTTATTTTCAACAAAATTTGTTGATAACATCTCACCCACTCTCTCATTTGCTCTCTTTTTACATTGCTTCACCACTCTCTTAACCTCTCTTTCTCCATATACTCTTCCCTCCTTGCATCACTTCTACTTTGTAAAAACTTCTCATATGCTAACTTTTTCTCCCTTACTACTCTCTTTACATCATCATTCCACCAATCGCTCCTCTTCCCTCCCACACCCACTTTCCTGTAACCACAAACGTCTGCTGAACACTCCAACACTACATTTTTAAACCTACCCCATACCTCTTCGACCCCATTGCTTATGCTCTCATTAACCCATCTATCCTCCAATAGCTGTTTATATCTTACCCTAACTGCCTCCTCTTTTAGTTTATAAACCTTCACCTCTCTCTTCCCTGATGCTTCTATTCTCCTTGTATCCCATCTACCTTTTACTCTCAGTGTAGCTACAACTAGAATGTGAAATTATGCTAGCCAAAATTAGTGCCGAACAATTGACGGAACTGGATGTCTGATTGCCAGATTTGTGATGGTGGACCTGTACTAGGCACAAAACTCTCTATGACATTCCCAAAGTCAAACTAAATCTTTTCAAAAACTCAATGTATATAAAAGGGCCCAAAATCTGGAACTCTGTCAGAAATCTTCAGAACCACTTACTCAGCTAGCATCTTTAACCCTTTGGGGGTCGACAGGTCCTCCCAGAGACTTGTTCTCAGGGCCGGCCAAATTTCAACAACAAAAAAAAATTATTTTTTTCCAATGAAAAGATAAAGTATCTTTTCCTGATCATAATGACACCAAAAGTATGAAATTTGATGGAAAACTTACGGAATTATGCTCTCGCGATGTTTACGCATCGGCGATTTTGCCCACTTTGAGCCCTATTTTCGGCCAATTCCAGTTTACTAGTCGACAAAAATCATAACTATTTCGCTAAAACTCCATATTTTCTATCAAATGAGTACAAGAAACCACCCATTTACCGATTTCAACTATCCAATAAAGTGGTCAGAATTTAGCAATTTTGCCAATTTCACACAAATTTCAAAAGATGCCAATTTCCGAATAGGGTCCAGAATAAACAAGAAAGACATCCCTGGCACTAAAATAACAAGTTCTCTGTTCGTTAGTCACATCTCCAGGCCCCTCTTATATTTCTTTGGCTTTCCACTTCGAATTTTTATTCTTACAAAAGAAATAAGATTTACTGTTATGCAGACTACTGCATTAGTGTAGAAATGGTAAAAATAATGTCAGCGCACTTGTGAAAGAACATCAGACTCGCCAGTTGATGTGTATTGGACACTTTGCATGATTTGTTTACTTTTGAACTTTGGTAAAAATCAAACATTTCTGCTACTTTGAGCTCAATTTCAAGGCACTTTTCATTGTAAAACCAGTCAAAATCATCTCAATTTCTGTAATATGTCTTCCATTCTATAAAATGATACCAAGAAAACTAGAATACAACAATAAATACCATACGAAAATACAGTGCAAAGTCGCTGTTTTAATCCAAAAACACGGTCCAAGTTTTTTTTTCTCATTACGCACTGTGTGTTGCAGGATTTTTTTTTTATACTGCGCACACTGACCACATAGACCCATTCTTACATATGTAGGCCTACCAGCTTTCTCTCACTAGATTTGAGGGCGCTAGAATTTAGGCGTACTAGTACGTCAAAAACCCTAGGTCGTAAGACGTACTAGTACGTCTGAAACCCCCAAAGGGTTAACCCTTTCAGGGTCCAGAGGCCAAATTTCAAAGTATGCACCAGGGTCCAAGAATTTAAAAAAAAAAAAAATTTTTTTTCTGATGAAATAGTCGAGAATCTTTTTCTGAAGGTAATAAAACAAGAAGTACAAAATTTGATGGAAAACTGATGAAATTATGCTCTCGCGAATTTTGATGTGTCAGCGATATTTACGAATTGGCGATTTTGCCGACTTTGACTCCCATTTTAGGCCAATTACATTATTCCAGTCGACCAAGTTCTTAGCTATTTCACTAGTATTACTTCTATTCTATCGATTGAGCACGAGAAATTGCCAAGTCAACTGTTTCAACTACAAAATAAAGTGATTGGAAATTGGTAATTTGGCCAATTTAACACAAAGTTCAAAATATTCCAATTTCAAAATAGGGTCCAGAATAAACACTGCAGGCATTCCTGGCACTAAACTAACATTTCCTCTGTTCATCAGTTATGTTTTGAGGCTTTACAAATGAATTCCATTTTGATTTTTTATTCACATAATGATTTTTTATTCAAACCAAAAAAATAGAAGATTTACTGTTATGCAATATTGTAATAATTGTATAAATATCATCACCACATTTGTGAATGTATATTAGACCCACCAGCTGGCGTGTGTTAGATGTGTGAGGTCGTTTATTTATTCTTGAACATCAGCAAAAATTTAACATTTCTGCTAATTTGAGCTCAGTTTCAAGCCATTTCCAGTGCTAAAACCAATCAAAATCATCTCTATTTCTGTAATATGTCTTCCATTCTATCAAATGAGACCAAGAAATCTCAAATACAACTATAAAAAACATACGAAAAAACACTGCAAAGTCGCTGTTTTAATTGAAAATCATGGTCTCAGTTTTTTTTATCTCATTATACAAGTGTGCTGCAAGATTTGTTTTATGTGGTGCACACATACCACAGATGTATTCTCTCATATCTAGGCCCAAATTTACCACTCACAGCTTATCATAGTGAGCTGAGCTCATGGTGTAGGTCTACAGTTTGGACCCTGAACGTAAAGCTGCAGATCTACGGCACGGACCCTGAAAGTGTTAAAACTACAGTTAAAAAACACCTTATCTAGTTAACCTATTCCAGCCCATCATAAATACATATATAAAAACTAAACATGCATTTGCTCAATATCATCAACATAGGTAAAACATTATAATCAATATATACTTACTCTCAATATCTGTAATCCTCTCAAATGTTAATCATTCCATTGTGTCTGCCTTAGGTTAATAATCAAAACTGTAATTCCTCTCTACCAAACTTATTAAAGCCATATAGCATGAACTAATAGACTATTCAATTCTCTTGTATTCATCGTAAACTCACCTAATAACCATAAGTATAAAATTACTGCAATGTTATTGTCTTATTAACCCAAAGTTAGTCTTAAGTTTGCCCAAAGTGCTCTGCATATAAAGGGGCCTTTGGTATGTACAGTTGTACATCCAATTGTTATACTCCTTTGTGCAAACATTTACCATGCTTAATAAACTTCTTAGTCTTTGATGTATAGTATTATATTGACTTGAAAGTTTCACAAGTACAGGTATGCTCAAAAAGTCTAAATTGAACAAGGAATCATGTGGGTTCAAACCTAGGTCAGCCAAGTGACATCATAGGGTTAAAACAACATGATGTCTTAACACAATTTGTTACATTATTGAAAAAATTCCCCCTATGCTACTTATTTCATTCCTTCAAAGACCAACAATTTACCATCAAAAACTTACATTACCAATGGCCAAGAGTCCTTTATCAAAGAAAAGAATGACACCTAAGAAGATGAAGGTGACTCCAAAGGCAGCAAAGCCCACACCAATCTCTGAAAAATTACATAACATAAGAATGAAGGAACACTGCAGAAGGCCTACTGGCCCATACAATGTAGGTCCTTATCAAAAACACCCCTTCCCAAAGCTACCCAAGAATTTATGCCCTTACCTATGACACCAATCAAACCCAGCCCCTCCCACTCATATATTTGTCCAATATCCTTTTAAAGCTACTCAGGGCCCTAGCCTTGATTACCCTACTTGGAAGACATCAAAAACTCTGTTTGAAAACCGATACTTGCCTATGTCTCTTCTAAACCTAAATTTATCTAACTTAAATCTGTTACTTTTGGTTCTTACCTCATTCGATATCCTCAGTATTTTATTAATTATCACCTTTGTTTATGCCCATCTTCCACTTACACACTTCCATGATATCTCCTCTCATTCTACGTCTCTCAAGAAAGTGAAGATTCAAGGATTTAAGTCTATCTTCATTTGGGAGATTCCTTATACAGTGAATCATTTTAGTCATCCTTCTTTGTATGTTCTCCAATGAATTTATATCCATCCTGTAGCAAGGAGACCAAAACTGAGCAGCATAATCCAAGTGAGGCTTTACCAGTGATGTATAGAACTGTACAATAACTTTTACAGAATTAGACATGTGCAACATCTGGGTATCTTTATTTGTAGACATTTTGCCAGCAAGTGGTTTTATCAGTACAATACAAGGACAGCTTTGGAGATGGTGAACAGCTCTGTAATCTTGAAGGAACTGAAGCACAGTCATGGAGCTTGGCACTTTTATACTGGTGACAGGTGTAGGACATGCAGCAGATGAAGGCATTGTCACTGGTAGGTAGGAATCCCCAGTGGAAGTAGGTCATACCCAAGGAATGGGTCAGAAGTAACAAATAAAATTGTGTAGATGTCCTTTATACCAAAATTCCATGATGTTCCAGTGTCTGACAAGTTGTACATAAATGGTATACAATACCAACAAGATGCAGAATTAGACACATGTGCAACATCTGAGTATCTGTTCACCAACTACAAGGCTGAGGGAATGATTACCTCATCTTTTGAGTATAATTCTTCACATTATGTCCTTGTATTGATAAAGCCCATGGCTGGCAAAACTTCTACACATAAAGATACTCAGATGTTGCACGTGCATCTAATTCTGTATCTTGTTGGTATTATATACCATTTATGTACAACCTGTCAAACACTGCAACATCAGGGAATCTTTGTACAGATGACATCAACACAACCTTATTTCTTACTTCTCCCCCATTCCTTGGGTATGACCTACTTCCACTGGGGATTCCTGCCTACCAGTGACAATGCCTTCATCTGAGCAACGTCCTACACCTGTTGCCAGTATAAAAGCACCAAGCTCCATGACTGTGCCTCAGTTCCTTCAAGACTACAGTGCTGTTCACTAACTCCAAGGCTGAGGGACTGATTACCCTCATCTTTTGTATATAATCCTTCACACTGGATGGCAAAACGTCTACAAATAAAGATACCCAGATGTTGCACATGTCTAATTCTGCATCTAGTCAGTACCATACACCATTTATGCACAAAATAACTTTTGGACTCCTGTTACTTACACTTGAAATAAATCCTAGCAATTTATTAGCCTTACTGTGCACACTTAAGCACTGTTGTCTTTACTTTAGATTTCTGCTTACCATGACTCCCTGGTCCTTTTCATACTGTGTGTAATCAAGATCTACGTCATCTAGCTTATAACTTTGAGGGTTATTTTCATTCCCAAAGACTAGGACTTCACACTTGTCCACACTGAACTTCATCTGCCACTTATCAGAACAAGACATTAATTTGTCCAAATCCTCCTGGAGTGCATCGTTATTACAAAAGCAGTTAATTTCTAAGAACAACTGTTATGAATTCAAAACACAAATACTTTTGATATCTTTTACATTTAATGAAAATTCAAAATGTGTATCTTAATAACATTTAAATAACAATAAAGGAAAAATTCAAGAAAACCGAATTTCTCTTCAATCTCATTCTACACTGGCTAAATATCAATTGAAGACTGCAATTTTACTGCATATTAACATTTTCACACACACTGACATTTCTAGATCTCTACATCTTAGTTATTACCTAGAGTGTTTGCGATACATATTTTCCTTTGGATGTGTTGAATAGTTTTGAATTTTAGTCTACCTATACACTATGTAGGTTCAGAAACTTACCCTGAGCACTCCTTTCTACATTCATATCACTTTATTCTGAGACTTTGTAAGCTTTTAATGCAAGCTGTATTATATACAATTAACCCTTTCAGGGTCCAAGGCCAAAATCTGAAGTGGTGCCCCAGTGTCCAAGAATTTTCAAAAAAAAAAAATTGTTATTTTTTCTTATGAAATGGTAGAGAATCTTTATGTGAATGTAATAAAACAAAAAGTACGAAATTTTATGGAAAATTGACGAAATTATGCTCTCGTGAATTTTGATGTGTCAGCGATATTTATGAATCGGCGATTTTGCCGACTTTGACTCCCATTTTAGGCCAATTACATTATTCCAGTCGATCAAATTCTCAGCTATTTCACTAGTATTACTTCTATTCTATCGATTGAGCACAAGAAATCGCCAAGTCAACTGTTTCAACTACAAAATAAAGTGACCGGAAATTGGTAATTTGGCCAATTTAACACAAAGTTCAAAATATTCCAATTTCAAAATAGGGTCCAGAATAAACAATGTAGGTATTCCTGGCACTAAACTAACATTTCCTCTGTTCATTAGTTATGTTTTGAGGCTTTACAAATAAATTCCATTTTGATTTTTTATTCACATAATGAATTTTTATTCACACCAAAAAATAGAAGATTTACTGTTATGCAATATTGTAATAATTGTATAAATATCATCACCACATTTGTGAATGTATATTAGACCCACCAGCTGGCGTGTATTAGACGTGTGAGGTCGTTTGTTTACTCTTGAACATCGGCAAAAATTTAACATTTCCGCCACTTTGAGCTCAATTTCAAGCCATTTCCAGTGCTAACACCAATCAAAATTATCTCTATTTCTGTAATATGTCTTCCATTCTATCAAATGAGACCAAGAAATCACAAATACAACTATAAAAAACATACAAAAAAACACTGCAAAGTCGCTGTTTTAATCGAAAATCATGGTCTCAGTTTTTTTCTCTCATTATACACAGTGTGCTGCAGGATTTGTTTTATGTGGTGCACACATACCACATAGATGTATTCTCTCATATCTAGGCCCAAATTTACCACTCACAGTTTATCAGAGTGAGCTGAGCTCATGACGTAGATCTACGGTTTGGACCTTGAACGTAAAGCCGTAGATCTACGGGACGGACCCTGAAAGGGTTAATATCATTAGAGAAAGTACTGTAATAATCTGATCTTTGTGGAATCTCATTTGTGACATATTTTCCCCTATAATACTAGGCAACAAAATTTAACTTTTTATCCAGTTCAAAACAAAAATGGCTGTTTTATGTTTAACGCACTGAACATGAATCTAAACTTATTTAGTCTCTATCACATTAAGTTTTCTTTGAAATCACATAATTAATATTTTTGACTATTTATGGTTTAACTCTGACTGTCGCGGCCGTATATATACGTTTACAAGGTACCGTGTTTGACGTATATATACTCAAATTCTAGCGGCTTCAAATCAGGCAGGAGAAAGCTGGTAGGCCCACATGTGAGAGAATGGGTCTGTGTGGTCAGTGTGCACCATATAAAAAAAATCATGGAGCACGCAGTGCATAATGAGGAAAAAAAAACTCCAACTGTTTTTTTTAATTAAAATGCCGACTTTGTGGTCTATTTTCGTATAGTATTTGTGGTTGTATTCTCGTTTTCTTGGTCTCATTTGATAGAATGGAAACCATATTATAGAAATAAGAGGTGATTTTGATTAATTTTACTATAAAAAGAACCTGGAAATGGAGCACAAAGTACGGGAAATGTTTAATTTTTGCCGATGTTCAAAAGTAAACATATGATGTCATTGTCCAACAAATGTCCAAATAGCCATTCTAATATGCAGTCATGAATGGGTTGATGTAATTTTTACAATTATTACAGTATTGCAGTAGTCTGCATAACAGTAAATCTTCTATTTTTTGTTTGAATAAAATTTCAAAATAAAAAGCAAGAGTAATATCACAGGGGCCTGGAGATGTGACTGATGAACAAAGAAAATGTTATTTTAGAGCCAGGAATGTCTGCATTGTTCATTCTGGTCCTTATTTTGAAATTGTCATATTTTTTAATTTTCGTGAAATTGGCCAAATTGCAAATTTCTGACCATGTTATTGGGTAGTTGAAATCAGTAAATGGGCAGTTTCTTGTACTTAATCGATGGAAAAAATGGAGTTCTGAAGAAATAGCTATAAGTTTGGTTGACTGGAATAATGGAATTAGCCGAAAATAGGGCTCAAAGTGGGCAAAATCGCCGATTTGTAAATATCGCCGAGGTCGCTAACTTCGTGAGAGCGTAATTCTGTCAGTTTTCCATCAAATTTCGTTTTTTTTTTGGTGTCTTTACAATCGGGAAAAGATTCTCTATCATTTCATAAGAAAAAAATAATTTTTTTTTTTTAAATTTTGCGACACCAGGAGACACCTCAGGATTGGGGGTTGCGATAGTCAAAGGGTTAAGAACCACATGATATATATTACTCAACAATCACAGACCTAGGTTTTCGTTTGCCCTGGTTTTCATCGAATTTGGTTTTCGACGACTTTTTTCATCAAAATTTTGTCCCAGTTTTCGTTCATCACCTTGGTTTTTTTAAAGTTGACAGTGGTCCGCTGTACCGAACGTGTCTGCTCGTGCCCACACAAAGCATCCCATGCGTTCTGAGTCAGTCTGGCTTTGTTTCTCATCAGTAGAGGGTGGTAGTGATGGTGGTAGAGGGTGGCTGTGATGGTGGTAGAGGATGGCTGTGATGGTGGTAGAGGGTGGATGTGATGGTGGAAGAGGGTGGCTGTGGTGGAAGAGGGTGGCT